TTCAGAAAAGTTCTCTGCGCATTTAACTGAGGACTTCACAAATCTGTAATTCAACTGGACAAAAGAAGCTCTATGCTCACTTGTTTCAATCCCCTAAGCTTCTATCATTTTGCATGTTTATTATTTCTACTAAGAACAAATACATAACTGCCCACAATTTGCCCCGCAATGAGGCTGTCAAACACTGTATCTGAGTGGACAGCCTCTAGTCCATGTAACTGGAGCTAATGTTGTGCAATAATGGCCACAAGTATACATTTACAGATATAGTAAAGGTAATGGGAATTGACAGATTAATCACATACATGTGTACTGACATGTGTTTTACAACAAACAATGCTACCGGAATGAAATTTCTTCCTTTCCCCTTATTTCAGGCAAAGAATGCACTGGCCCATGGCTTGCAGTCTGCTCGTCATGATTGTGACCTGCTCCGAGAGCAATATGAAGAGGAGCAGGAAGCCAAGGCTGAGCTGCAACGTGCCATGTCCAAGGCCAACAGTGAAGTGGCCCAGTGGAGAACCAAGTATGAGACGGATGCCATTCAAAGGACTGAAGAACTGGAAGAGGCCAAGTAAGGAACAAGGAGTGGGCAAATGATTTCCAAATAACTGTGTGGATAAGATTAGAAAATATATTCATTTACAGGAACAGCTACATACAGTACTTGCTGGAAGAATGGGAATGGCTATTTTTGAATCTGGGTTTAGTTGAGCAGAAGACCATTATGCTTCTTTCTACTGAGATTTCTGAGTATTGACCATGCCATTCCTCAAGGTAAATGAAGACATTTTGCTGCCAGAGATGGAGCAGCAAATGGTGGCTATACCACGGCCCATCCCACCTTATCAATGTGAACAATCCTCAAAGTTAGCCAAATGTGCCAGAAGGGCCCACACAAGTGGATCTCTTCCATTGCTACACTAAAAGCACAAGGACCTCTAGTGTTAATCCCATCTAGAATAAACCCACTGAAATTAATGGGACTTGTATCAGTAGTGACAAACACATCCTACTATTTTTACTAGTTCTAGTCTAGTTCAGTGGATCAACTCTTTCAGCCCAGAACAAACAAGCAAATAAGCAAACAAGCAAGCAAGCAAGCAAACAAACAAGCACATTGAAACTATTGGGGTTTAAGCTACTTCAATCAGCTTAAAGCTAGGGCTGGCCCCACCATTTTTCAAGTTGAAGTGATTTATTGTAATTGAATGCAGGACACTTAAATATATACAATAAAGAGTGCTGTACTTATACTTTTTCAGGAAAAAGCTTGCCCAGCGTCTCCAGGAAGCTGAAGAACATGTTGAAGCTGTGAATTCCAAATGTGCTTCTCTTGAGAAGACAAAACAGAGGTTGCAGAATGAAGTGGAGGACCTGATGATTGATGTGGAAAGGTCCAATGCAGCCTGCGCAGCTCTAGACAAGAAGCAGAAGAACTTTGATAAGGTCTTGTTGATCATAAGTAAAGAGCAGCACATTGCACAAAGGGTTCATATTTCACTGAGAGTGATCTGCCTGGACCTAGATCTCACCATGGAAACCAAGGTGGCATCTGTGGTCCAGGCAGCCCATTTCCATCTTTGGAGGATTGCCCAGCTGCATCCCTATCTAGATGTGGGGACACTCATGACACTGATTCATGCCCTCGTAATCTCAAGAATAGACTACTGCAGTGCTCTCTACATGGGGCTACCCTTGAGGCTGATGTGGAGACTTCAACTGGTCCAGAATTCGGTGGCCAGATTAATAACTGGGGTGAAGAAATTCCAGTACATCTCCCCCACTCTTGCCGCCCTTCATTGGCTACCAGTTCATTTCCACATCGACTTCAAGGTTATGATGATAACATTAAAAGCCCTAGGTTTAAGACCTAGGTACCTTTGAGAATGCCTGCTCCCTCCCAGATCTGTCTGAATCCTCGTTCTTTACAGGCAGGGCAGTTGAGGGCCTTTACCTTGAAGGAAGCTCGGAGGGAAAGAACAAGAAACTGGACCTTCTTGGTGGTTCGCCCCCGCCTATGGAACAACCATAGATACTGAGATCCACCTGGCACCCTCGCTGGATGGGTTCAAAAGAGCACTGAAGACCTGGCTCTTCCGCCAGGCTTTCCTGGAGCTCCAGGATCTTGCCCTCCCTTTTTACCATCCTCTCCATCACCCTTTCTACTGTGAGAGCCACCTGGCGCCCTCGCTGGATGGGTTCAAAAGAGCACTGAAGACCTGGCTCTTCCGCCAGGCTTTCCTGGAGCTCCAGGATCTTGCCCTCCCTTTTTACCATCCTCTCCATAACAAACAAACAAACAAACAAACAAACAAACAAACAAACAAACAAACAAACAAACAAACAAACAAACAAACAAACAAACACATTCTACTCTGTTCAAGATCCATGCTGTGGGGCTTCTAAATTTGGGGGCTGAGCTGGAATGATTCCCCAGCACACAGCATCACTTCCTGTGTGATCAGGCATGCACCTTTGCAGCCATTTGATCACACCCTAATTCATTAACTATCTTTTGCTGGGTTTTTTTTCTTTGTAGATTCTGGCTGACTGGAAGCAAAAATATGAGGAAACTCAGTCTGAACTGGAAGCTGCCCAGAAGGAGTCTCGCTCTCTCAGCACAGAGCTCTTTAAGATGAAGAATGCTTATGAGGAATCATTGGACCACCTGGAAACTCTGAAGCGAGAGAACAAGAATCTCCAACGTAAGGCCATCATCTTTACACAGGCATTCAGCAGAGCTGGTCCATATTTGTAATTGCAGCTTTCTATTTGACTTTTTAATATGTAAAT